ACTTTGAATGAATAAAATAATATGTTTAATAATAATAATGATAATATATAATCTTTTGGTCAAATATGTCTAATAACTTCCCAGGGCTTGAATTTTCTGAAACTCTTTATTGACCTAGAATTAGCTTTAGGTCATTCTAATCAGCCCTAGAATGCCTCAGTGATTTGTTTTTTCTCCTGATGAAGGAAAAATTTTATGCTTAAGGTACATAGGAAGTTATGTCAAATAAAGAAATCATAACTATATTTTACTTATATTTGCATATTATAAATTGATGTTATAGAGATTATTTAAAAATCTCCAGATTTCTTTTATAACTCTGGTTGTTATTCTGGAATATTGTGTTTTACAAAAAAGGGACAGTATTCCAAGTCAATTACATTGCAATTAAATCTATAACCTGTCGCCCTGGCCTGTTTGGCTGAGTAGTTGGAGCGTCGACCTGTGGACTAGAGAGTCCCAGGTTTGGTTCCCGCTAGAGGCACGTACCAAAAAAAAAAAAAAAAGAAAAAAAGAAAAAAGAACCTATAACCTGTCATTCTAAGTTTCCTTTTTGTCAATTACAGACAGTCATTGTTTCACTCTAATGCATTTATAAGGATGTTACATCTTCTGAAAGATTCATGGAAAGGACTCTGACTTATTTTACATATCCCTGAGAATACAATTTTAGGTAATTCCCTTGAACTGGATGGAAATTACTAGAATCCTGGGGAACATCTGCATTTATAGAAGTACTGGCACGAAATATCAGGAGAAACAGAATTTGATTATGGGACTGAATAAAGTGAAAATAATTATAGTCTTTGTAATTCTTTTAATTATTTCTGACTTTTAATCCTTTTATTTTCCAGACATAAGGAAACTTGTTTCTTAAAGCAGTTTAGTGAATTATACTTTCATAAGCAACATTTAAGCATTTATATTTTTCTCCCTACCTCATCCATCCAGAATTTGGAAGTTCTTAAGGAGTATTATTACTTTTATGGCAATGTTTATTTGCATATTATATTCCAATAAGAACCTTATTTCTTCATAACAGGGCACATAAAGCCAGTTTCCAATTTTGTTTCATTAATCAAGACTTTGACTGGAATATCATGTCTGAGAGAGATATGCCAGGACTCTGGATGTGATCAGAAAGCTTTAAGGAATGAAGATTGACTTTGAAGGTCTACCAAACATTCAAAGAAGACCTCTAACCTATCCTTCTCTAACTATTCCAAAAATTTCAAGAGGAAGTCCTCAACAAAATATTAGCAAACTGGATCCAGCAATACATTGAAAGATTATATACCATGATCAAGTGAGCTTTATTCCTGAGATGCAAAGTTAATACATATCAAGAAACATGACACACCACAAAAAATGCAAAATAAAAATTACATGATCATATGAATAGATGCAGATAAAGCATTTGATAAAATCCAGTACTCATTTATGATAAAAGTTCTCAGCGAATAATAGAGGGACCATACCTCAATATCATAAAGGTTATATATGACAAATCCATAGTTAACATTTTACTCAATGGGCAAAAATTGAATGTGTTTCCTTAAGATCAGAAACAAGACAGGGATGTCTACTTTCAGCACTCTTATTCAACAAGTACCAGAATTCCTAGCCAGAGTAATAAGACAAGAAGAAGAAATAAATGGCATCCAAATTAGAAAGGAAGAAGTAAAACTGTCATTCTTTGCAGATGACAGGATACTGTATGTATTCCACAAAAAACTACTAGAACTAACAAATAAATTCAGTAAAGAAGCAGGATACAAAATAAATATCCAGAAATCAGTTTCATTTAATGCACCAATAATGAACTATTGGAAAGGGAAACTAGTATAACAATCCCATTTACAACTGCATAAAAAAATACTTAGGAACAAATTTTACCAAAGATGTGAAAGTCATACACTCAAAAAATTATAAAAGATAGAAGAAAGAAACCGTAGATGATATAAATAAGTGGAAGTATATACCATGTTCATGGATAGAAAAGACTGACACCATAAAAATGTCCATACTATCCAAAACAATGTATAGATTCAATGCAATTTCTATCAAGATAGCAATGGTGTATTTTACAGAACTAGAACAAGTATCCCAAAAATTTATATGGAACCACGATAAAGCCAAAATAGCCACAGCAAACTTTAAAAACATTTTTATTTATTGATTTTAGAGAGAAAGAGGAAGGTAGAGAGAGAAAAAAGAGCAAGAGAGGGAGAAACATTGACTTGTTGTTCCACTTATTTATGCATTCACTGGTTGGTTCTTATATATACTCTGACCAGGGATCAAACCTGCAATCTTGGCATACTGGGATGAAGATCCAACTAACTGAGCAACCTGGCCAGGGCCACCACAGGAATCTTGAGAGTGAAGAACAGAGTTGCAGAGAGTCCACTACTTAACATCAGACTATACCACAAGGCCAAAACAGCATGGTAGTGGCATAAGAACAGACATATATATAAATGGAACAGAATAGAGAACTTCAAAAATAAACTCATGCCTTGATGGTCAATTAATATTTGACAGAGGAGGAAAGGACATACAATGGCATAAAAACAGTCTATTCAATAAGTGAGGTTGACAGAATTTAATAAGATACATGGAAAAAATGAAACTAGACCACCTTTTTACAGCATATACAAAAATAAACTGCAAGTAGATTAATGACTAAAATTTAAGGCTAGAAATCATAAAAATCTTAGGAAAAAACATAAATAGTAAAATCTTGGACATTTCTTGTAGCAATATCTTTTTCTGATACATCCCCTTGGGCAAAAGAAATAAAGAAAGAATAAACAAATGAAATAAAATCAAACTTAAAATTATTTGATGGGTTATAGCAAAAAACCCATCAATGAAATAGAAATACAAACCACTGAATGGGAGAACATATTCTCCACTGATACATCTGATAAAGAGTTAATTTTCAAAATTTATAAAGAACGTATACAACTGAACAACAAAAGAAATAGGATGTAAATAAAAAACGGGAAAGGACCTAAATAGACACATCTCTAAAAAGGACATATAAATGGCCAATAGACATATAAAAAGATGATTAGTCACCAATCATCAGAAAATGCCAATTAAACCCACAATAAGATATCTCATACCTATCAGAATGGATATCATCAATAAATCAACAAATAACAAGTGTTGGCATGGATGTGGAGAAAAGGGTACCCTCATGCCCTGTTGGTGGGAATTCTGATTGGTGCAGCCACTGTGGAAAGCAGTATGGGGTTTTCTCAAATGTTCAATATGGAACTGTCTTATGACCCAGTGATTTCACCTTCTGGGAATATATCCAAAGAAACCTGAAACACTAATTTGAAAGTATGTATGCACCACTATGTTCATTGCAGCATTATTTACAATAGGCATGATTTTGAAGTAGCCCAAGTGCCCATCAGTACATAAGTGGGTAAAAAAGCAGTGGTATATTTTCATAATGGAATACTACTCTGCCATGAAAAAGGAAACCTTACTTTTAACAACAGTATGGATTGATCTGAAGATTATTATGCTAAGTGAAATAAGCTAGTCAGAGAAAGCAAATACCATATGCTCACTTATATATGGAATCTATAAAGAAACAAAAAACTTGAAACAGACTTATAGATAAAGAGAACAGACTGACAGCTGTCAGAGGGGAGGAGGTTTGGTGGGGATGAGTGAAAAAGCTGAAGGGATTAAGAAAACAAACAAACAAACAAACTGATAGTCAAAATAGTAAGTTGTCCTTGCCTTAGCCTGAAGCTGCATGTAGCACAACTCCCAAAGTTCTGCTGGTCTTATAAAAATTTGTTACTCAGACTTTCACAGGTCAAGAGCTACTGTAAAGAAGGTCATGTGCTAGTAGCCAATATAATTTTTCTTTAAAAAAATAGTTCTCATATAAGATAATTTTGCTTGTATTTTAAACTGCAGTATTTACCTTATTTGATTGTGGGTCTGCAATACCCAAATAGTTTAGGCAAATGTTTTATTTTATTTTTAATTGTTATTATTATCATTTTTGAAATATGTTTAATTGATTTTTTAGAGAGAGAAGGGAAAGAGAGATAGGAACATCAATGAGACATCTATCAGCTGCATCCTGCACGCCCCCTACTGGGGATCGAGCCTGCAACCCAGGCATGTGCCCTGACTAGGAATCCAACCAGAAGCTCTCAGTCCATGGGTTGATGCTCAATCCACTGGGCAACACTGGCTCGGCTATTATTGTTATTTTTTAACCCTCACTCCAGTATATGTTTTTTTTTTTTTTTAAATTGATTTTAGAGAGAGAGAAAGAGAGAAATATCAATGTGAGAGACAAACATTTTTCTGTTGCCCCCCATACATGCCCTGTGTGGGGATGGAACCTGAAACCTAGATATGTGTCTGACCAGGAGTAAAACCTGCAAACTTTTGGTGTATGGGACGATGCTGCAACCACTCAGTCACCCGCCTAGGGCCAAGCAAATGTTTAAAATGCTTTACCTTTTGTAAATTATTGTCAAAACACACACACACACACACACACACACACACACACACACACACGACTATGGGGCTAGAAAGACAAGAGAAGGGGAATAAGATTGATTTTAAAAAGGAGCCATTGAGAAGGTTGGGAAGAGGTAATGATAGAGTGCCAGAGAAGAGAGGGCCATTAGGAAGATGGATAAACCAAAAGAATATCCCTAGATTAAAGCAGGCAATGGTTTAACATCAGCTTCTTATTTAACAATGTTACAAGAAAAGATTGAAGAGGTAAAATAACTTTTCAAAATCATATGGGGGCTTTTTCAAGGTAGTATGAAGAAAGCTTAGGTCAGGAAGAACAGCTGGAAGACAAAGAAGAAAAAGAAATCTGGAAGTCAAGGGCAGGAGTGGAAATGAGAGGCAGAGTGGGAGGGCCAGGGCTGTGGGAGGCCTGGCTCTTCTCTGATGTGCAATGTAAATGAGGTGCAGATTTGTCAGTTGGAAGAGAGAGGAAGTCACTATAAAGAACTGAGAAAAAGGTTTGCTGAGTTTCAAGATCAAACACCGCATTTTAGAGTCAGAAGTTCTATCTCCCAGTGAAATGCTGCTTTTGCTACTTCTAATGCTGGGAGTTCTCATCCCAGGTGGTGACAATGAACATGGTAAGAGTAACTCTGGGTTCTCCCAGCATGGGTGGAGGGGTCTGGGTAAAAGCATGATGTACACACACCTGAAGGTGTGGGTCATCCTGTCTCCAGCTCTTTTCTTCCATTTTGGAGACTGGGGATGGAGTCTGAGGCCCTGGCACAGGCAAATGTCTGAGGCATTTTGTTGTTCAGACTCTGGGCTCTTTTTCTCAGGATCTGGTTTTCATTATGCCCACATTTTTCTTCTGATTTATTTTTTTCACTTTTCTTGTACTTCCACCCCCACAGCTTTCCAGGGGCCAACCTCTTACCATGTCATCCAGATATCATCCTTTATCAACAGCACCTGGACACAACATCAAGGCTCAGGCTGGCTGGATGATTTGCAGATTCATGGCTGGGACAGTGAGTCAGGCACTGCCATTTTCCTGAAGCCGTGGTCCAAGGGCAACTTCAGCAATCAGGAAATGACTGAACTGGTGGAGGTATTTCGAGTCTATTTTATCGGATTCACTCAGATAATAGAGGATCATGTCAGTGAATTCCAGTTGACATGTGAGTACAGTTTTCTGGAGAGATTATCAGTGCTTTTTCTCAGGATCTTTCTCTCCTTCTTCCCAGTTTATCCAACTGTGTGCACACACTTCTCTAGAGTTGTCTTCCACGTAGACTCCCTCTCTCCACAAACTATTTCAGAGTCTTCATTCTCCTGCACGCTTGTCTGATAAAGATCCCCCTTTGGAACCATCTCCTGGTTTGTTGATGTTGAACTTTTTTTCTCTTAAACCTCAAGCAAGAAGCCCTCACTTTTCCCACTCTGTGCCTGAGTAAACTAAAGTGTGACATCCTTTTATTCTTTAATCCAACTCTTCCAGCATTTCCTGCCTCATCCCTCCTCTCCATGTAATTCTCCTGTTCATCCTGGAATGTTGTACTCCAGACTTCATCACCCTGCTCCTCACGTTTCCCCTCTTTTTTCTTCTTACCCCCGTATGTCACAACAGCATCCCATCACCACTGTTTATGGCATGTATACTGCTCCCCTATGCTCTTCTCTCTGAAAAGTCTCTGGATACAGACAGACACTACTTAACAATGGGGTAGGTTCTGAGAAATGCATTAGGTTGTCAGCAATGCATAGGTTCTGTCAGTTTCATTGGTGTGCAATCATCCTGGAGTGCACCTACACAAACCTAAACGGGATAGCCTACCACACACGTAGGCTGGTTGGTATATCCTGTTGCTCCTAGGCTACAATCCTGCACAACACATTACAAAAATCATGAGATTAAATCAAGTGCAAGAGGAAATGGTGCAGTCTAGAGATGCAGTAAACAGGAGACATAGGAGGCTGTTGTTGGTATAACATGGCATACTGTTTTATAAGAAACAACCAAAGTACTTTTTTTAAATTCCTCACACGAGGATATTTTTCTACTTTTTATCAGATAGAGTGGGAGTGATGCAGAGAGAGAGAGAGACAGAGAGAAACATTGATGTGATAGAGCCACATCGACTGGTTGCCTCCCGCATGACCTGACCAGGGCTGTGGACAGTCTGCAACGGAGGTACATGCCCTTGACCGGAATCCAACCCACGACTCATTCGTCCATGGGCTGACGCTCTAACCATTGAGCCAAACCGGACAAGGCAAGAAACTTTTTTTTTTTATAAGTAGTAAAGGTACACTCTGAAATAATAGTAAATAGTACAATAAATACTTGATCCAGCAACATCCTTTATTATCATTATCAAGTATTGTATACTATGTACATATTATATTGCTATACTTTTTAAATTTAAATTCAATTAAATTTTTCCATCACCATTTATCCCTCTGTGCCCTCTACTTTTCATACAGCTGGCAGCACAGTAGGTTTTTCTAATAGCAGCATCACCATAAACACATAAGTAATACATTGTGCTATGATGATATGATGGCTATGATGTCACTAGGCAATAGGAATATTTCAGCTCCATTATAATCTTATGATGAGAGACTACCCTTGTATATGTGGTTTGTTGTTGCCTGAACAGTTGTTATGTGGCACATGACTGTACTGAATTGGTTGTTGGCTGATCATTTTCAATCTCAGACCTTTCTCCCCACTCAAATAAATTATTCTAGGTCCTTTCTCCATCCCTTTCCTTCTTGTTTGCTTTCAAATATCAGTTTCTCTGTTTCTCTTCTATCCAGATCCCTTTGAGATCCAGGGCACAGCAGGCTGTGCAGTGCATTCTGGGAAGACCACAGTAAGCTTCTTGAGGGGAGCTTTAGGAGGACTGGATTTCCTGAGCTTCAAGAACGGTTCATGTGTGCCTGCTGCAGAGGGTGGCAACAGAGCACAGAGGTTCTGCACACTTTATAATCAGTACCCAGGCATCTCTGATATCACAGAGAGGATTCTCTTTAAAACCTGCCCTCGATTTCTCTTGGGTGTCCTCGATGCAGGGAAGAAGGAACTGCAAAAGCAAGGTTAGTTGGTTTTCTCTCCAAGAGTTTTCTATTTTACTTCCCATCACCACTTTAAATTCAAGTAGGAGGTAGAAGAGATGGGCTTAATCAATAAATTATTTGGTTTTTCAAAGGAGTGAAAGGGGGTCACTGTCCAAACGTATGTGTTTCTGAGTCCCTGTGCTCTACATTAGAGTCATAATGTGACTCTGTCCCTGCTCCTTCCTGCCCCAGTGAAACCCAAGGCCTGGCTTTCCAGTGACCCCAGCCCTTCGCCTGGCCGTCTGCTGCTGGTGTGTCATGTCTCAGGGTTTTACCCCAAAGCTGTACGGGTGATGTGGATGAAAGGTGTGCAGGAGCAGCCAGGAACTCATCAAGGTGACCTCCTGCCCTATGCTGATGGGACGTGGTATCTCCGAGTGACCCTGGATGTGGCAGCTGGGGAGACAGCTAACCTGAATTGCCGAGTAAAGCACAGCAGTCTAGGAGGCCAGGACATCGTCCTCTACTGGGGTGAGAAAAAATACTGGACCTAGCTGGACATGGGAGAAGAAGGCACTCAAACATAAAGGAAAACCAGGAAATTGATGAGATTTAATGAGTGAGAGAGAGAGAGGTAAATAAACAAGGAAGGAGGGAGAAAGAAAATGAGGGAGGAAAAATTACAGAAAGAATGAGATGCCCTAAAAGCGATTTTCAACTCATGTGCCACAAGAATTTTTAAAACATATGGTAGATAACTATTTAGCAAGGGGCACTGACCTCTTTTCCCTTAGATTGTCAAATAAATAAATAAAAATGACAACAGCCAGCACAACAATAGCTGTCTGGTGTGAATGAATCAAAATTATACCTTTTTTTTTTTGGTCAGATTGGCAAAAAAATTTTTTTGGTGTGATGCAGAATTTTAGTAGTTACTTTGTATGTGCCATGAGATAAAAAGATGGAAAATTGCTGACTTGGTATAAAAGAGGTAAGAATCTGACCCATATATTGGGTGAAGTAGGGCAAGAAGAAGAGAGAGAAGACAGGTAAGGATGTGTTTTGTTCAGAAATGTGAAAGAAGAGTTAGGTGTGCCCATACATCAGGAGAAGATGAACGATGGTGCCAGCTCTCAGGTGAGCACAGGAAGGGCAGGTGAAGCAGAGAAGGGGTTTGGAAGTAACATGTTTGTGTCTTCTCCCAATTGCCAGAACATTCTACCTCCACCAGTGTGATAGTGTTGGCAGTGATATTGCCCACCTTGATTCTTCTGACATGTCTTGCATTATGGTTTTGGAGGCGCCGGTAAGTATTAAAAAATATTTTTTTCTGTCAACTTCGCACTCTTTCATACCATTCTTATCTATTTACATCACTTTAGCCTCAATTATTCCAGAAGACCTTTTGCATTTTCTCCCTAATTCCCATCTTTTGTTTATGTCAATCTATTTTTTAATTGTGGTTAATATACATGACATAAAACTTATTATTTGAGTCATTTTTAAATGCAGATTTTAGTAGTCGTAATTACCTCCAATTTTTTGTGCGACCAATCTCTAGAACACTTTTTCATCTAGAAAACCTAAAACTCTCTACCCATTAAACAACATTTTGTTATTTCCTGGTCATGTAGGCCCGGGCAACCAACATTCTACTTTCTGTCTACATAAAATTTGATTACTCTAGACACCTCATATAAATGGAATCACCAGTATTTGTCTTGTTATGACTGGATTATTTCATTTAGGGTAATGTACTCATGATTCATCTGGTTTATGGCATGTGTCAGAATTTTTTCGCTTTTAAGGAAGGCTGAATAATATCCCACTGTATTTATATGGCATGTTTGTTTATCCATTCACCTGTCAATGGACACTTGGGTTGATTCCATCTTTTGGCCATTGTGAATAAGGCTCCTATGAAATAGGTGTACAAGTATCTCTTATGTAAAGCTAAAATTGTTTGTGTCCTTAACAGGTCATATCAGAATATTCAATAAGATTTCATCATGTCTCCTATCCCATTTGGAATAAGTACCCAGAAGATAAGAAGCTCAAGTTGTCAGTCCAGGAGGAGATCTCATCGTATTTATCAAATAATTATCATATTTGATCAACTCAGAGTTCCTATAGCTTGTGAGATACATCATAATTTGCACACTAACAGAAAAATAATTAAGAACTGTGAATTTATCATATGATAATATCAATAGTAGGCTCCACCCATATTTCACAGATGTGAGATGTGAGAAAGGATGTATCTTGGAATAAATAAAATAAATTACAGATGGTCTCCAACTTATATTTTTCAAAAACTTTCTAATGGTGTGAAAGCAATATACATTCAGTGGAAATGGTACTTGAGTTTTGATTCTTCTCCCTGGGCTAGTAATATGCAGTATGGTACTCGCTCGTGACACTGGGCAGTGGCAGGGAGCCTAGCTCCCAGTCAGCTACGAGGTCATGGGATTAATAATTGATACTCTACAATGTGTTTATTGTGTAGATGATTTTGCCCAAGTGTAGAGTAATGTATGTAAGTTTTTTAAAATATGTTTTTTATTGATTTTTTTTAGAGAGAGAAGAAGGGAGAGAGAGAGAGAGAAGCATTGATGTGAGAGAGATACATTGATTAGCTGCCTCCTGCACATTCCCTACTGGAGAGGGAGCCCACAACCCAGGCACTGACTAAATTATGTTGGGGTCTCTCAGTGCCCTGACTGAATCCTGTTGGGGTCTCTCAGGCCATGGGCCATCGCTCATCCGCTGAGTCACACCAGCTGGACTACGTATGTGTTTTGAGCATGTTTAAGGTAGGCTAGGCTAAACTGTGATATTCAGTAGGTTAGCTGTACAAAATGCATTTTTGACAAAGTGTTTTCAATTTACTATGGATGCTTTGTATGTAACTATTGTAGATCAAGGAGCATCTGTGTTCAATTTAATGGTGATATCTCCTTGGATTCCTTTTTTTTTTTTATCCTCATCCCAGGACATTTTTGCATTTATCTTCAGATAGAGTGGGCAGAAGAAAGGGAGGAAGAGAGAGAAACTTTTATGTGAGAGAGACACAGTGAGTTGTTGCCACTCACACAACCCTAAAAGGAGCCAGGGACAAACTGCAGATAAGGGTCGTGCCCTTAGTGGGAACCAAACCTGTGTCTCTCTGGTCTGCGGGCTGACACTCTAACCACTGAGCCAAACCAACCAGGTCTGGCTTCCTGTTTTAAAACAGTTTTGTGCTTATACTGGAATATCATTTGTCCAACTAAGCTAACTATAATTATGCTGGAATAATTGTGTCTTCAGAGATGCTGATCATTATTAATGTAATTTCTCTGTCTCTGCCTGGATGACTTTCTAACTGTGAAGGCCCATTTGTGATGCTTCTTCCTCTAGGAAACCGTCCCTAGTGCTACAGTGGAAGCAACCCTCCCTTGACTGGTACTATGCAGAACTCCACTTTACTCTGTACCCTCTACATTTTAGTTATTTTGTTTTTCTTTCCTTTCTACTTGTAGTCCCTTGACAGAAGGTTTGCTTTAGATGGATCCCTGGTAAGATCTTTTTTTTTTTTTTCCCTTCATTGATTTGGGAGAGAGAAAGATAGAAACATTGATGAGAGAGAACATCGATTGGCCCTCTCCTGCATGTCCCCCAATGGGGATTTGGTCCACAACCTGTGCCCTGACTGGGAATCGAACCAGCGACCCCTTGGTGCATGGGTTGACGCTCAACCACTGAGCCACACTGGCCAGGCAAGATCTTATAGTTGTACATGTATTTGTTCAGTAAAAATAATCAGAATTGCTATAACTGCCATGTTAATGCTATTTCCTCAAACCATTACTTTAGTTGATATTGTAGTTTCTCCTCTTATTAAAATATTTTTCACATAGTAAAAATCAAACAAACAAACATACAAACAAACAAAAATCATGTTCTTCTTGATTCTGCCTCTAACCCCTCTGATGAAAGCCACTTGTGCCCATACTATAACTACATTTCACCTACAGAGGTTCATGAATAGGATCCTGCTCATTATTTTTCAGTGAGAATGAATGAGAGGTAGGATGTGTGGGGGATAATAGTGCAATGGGGTTGTTACATAGTCAAGTACAAATCAAGAGGGCTGTTCTTGTCTTCAGGATCTTTGAGACGAGTGGTATATCAATTAATTCAGTTTGATCTTTGATTTACATTTACATTTAGTCACTTCTTTGCTTATTCCATAGTTTTCTAGAAACACCATTACAAAAATACAAATTCTTTTGATTAAAACAGCAGTAAGATGGAGGTGGAGAGAACCTGAGTATATTTTATATAAACTTAAGAAGGAAGTGAGAGCAAGCAGAACTTTTGGAGAAGCTGGGGGACTGGAAGCAGTTCTCTCACCTGGAAATTTTAGGACAAGATTGACTTTAGGATGTGGGAAGGGTAAAAACTGGCTAGAAATATAGTTTTCTCCTCTCTCCATTAGAATAGCAGGTTACTTCTCCAGAATGAATTAAATTCCACATCATCTTATAGAGTAGGCATGTTGTATGCTTGACTGCACCTACGGCTACCATCTAGGGCCTTAATTAATGTGTTTTTCGGAGTGTGGACTATGAGTCACCACTGGTAGTAGTACCTATGAGTTTGTTAGAAAAGGAAATGTTTAGGCCCCTCTTTAGACCTAATAAATTCAAAAATCAAAATATGGAAACTAGAGTCTGGCTGGTGTTGCTCAGTGGTTGAGTGTCGACCCATGCACCAAGAGTCGCCAGTTCGATTCCTGGTCAGGGCACATGCCCAGGTTGTGGGCCCAATCCCCAGTATGGGGTGTGCAGGAGGCAGCCAATTGATGTTCTCTCTAATTGATGTTTCTATCTTTCTCTCCCTCTTTTTCACTCTCTCTCTAAAATCAATAAAGTAAAATAAAAATATGGAAACTAGAAATCTTTGTTTTAAAAAGCCTTTCTGATTATTCTGATATACATTTAAGTTTGAGAACCCCTTGTCTAAACATTTCTCAACTTTTGCACTACTGACAGTTGGGGCCAGATATTTTTCTTTATATATGAAGGGTTGTCCTGTGCACTACAGGATTTTTAGAAGCATTCCTACTCACCAGATGCTAGTAGCACTTTCCCTCCAAATTTGACACCCAAATTTATCTTCAGATACTGCCAAATGTCCCCTAGGGGAGCAAATTTAACCCAGATGAGGAGCAAGCTTAGTTGGAATAATTGGTGCATAGTGTATATGTGACCTAATTAGGACCAATCCAAATGAAGCCTACAGATTATATTTGGTAGTTGAGAAAGGAAGGGCTCTTTCTTTGCCTGTATGATATGCCACCATCAAAACTGGATGTAGTCCCATTCATTTATTTTTGCCTTTGTAGTGAAGTGTATAGAATCTACTCCAAGACCAAGGTCCATAAGTTTAGTACTTATGATGTTTTTTCTATGTAATTCATTGTTTTCTGGTCTTATGTTTAGGTCTTTGATCCATTTTGAGTTAGTTTTTGTATATGAAAACTAAGTAATCTAGTTTCATTGTTTTGCATATGGTTTTCCAATTTTCCCAGCACATTTATTAAAGAGGCCTTCTTTTCCTTTATTGTATGTTTTTGACTCCATTGTTGAAAATTATTTGGCCATATACATATAGGTTTATTCCTGGACTCTCAATTTTATTCCATTGGTCTGTGTGCTTGTTTTTCTGCTGATACCATGCTGTTTTGATTATTGTTGTTTTGTAGTATAATTTTAAATCAGAGAGTATTATATCTCTGGCTTTGCTTCTTTTTTGTTCAGGATTGCTTTCAGTATTTGAAGCCTTTTGTGATTTTTTTATAAAGGTGGTAATTTTTATTTTTTGTTCAATTTCTTTAAAAAATATCATTGGGAATAAAAATTTTTTTTTTTATTGATTTTAGGGAGGAAGGAAGAAGGAGAGAGAAATAGAAACAGTGATGAGAGAGAACATCAATTCACTGCCTCCTGCACACCCCCCATTGGGGATTGGGGTCACAACCTGGGCATGTGCCCTGACCGGAAAATTGAACCAGCAAACTCTTGGTGTATGGTTTGATGCTTAATCACTGAGTCATATTGGCCAGGCTCATTGGGATTTTTGAGAGGGATTGCATTAAATCTATATATTGCTTTGGCTAATATGGCCATTTTAGCTGCTGATTATTTCAAATTTTAAAAATCAGTTTCTCTCTCCTAAAGTTTCTTTGCATTTTATTTGTGTCATATAAGAGTCAACTTACCTAATTTCAGTATTTGGGGAGGAAGTTTCCCTACATATCTAATAAGCAATTTTTTTTGGATACTAGATATTTGTTTTACAATTCAACTCAATTCTGACACTAGAGATGTCAGATTTCACAGGTTAAGAATTCAGTACTATAAGAATGCCCCCCTCCCACCTAACTTCAGATTCCAACTGCAAGGCTATTACCTGTGCTTCAGACCCACTTGCTATAGATTAGAAATCCCCATGCCTTTCTCTTGGGTGTTAATTAATTTGCTAAAGCTCTTCACAGAACTCAGATAAATATCATCCTTACTAGATCACCTATGTATTATGAAAAAGATATAACTCAGGAACAGCTAGATATACGAGATACATATTGGAGTGTACAGAGAAATATCTCAGAGCTTCCATGTCCTTTCCAAGGGTGCCACTTCCTTGAATCTTGAGGTGTTTATTAATCCAGAAGTTCTCTGAACCCCATCCTTTTGGGATTATATGGATACATTTTTACATAGGTAAAATTGATTAAATAATTGGCCATTAAAGATTGATTTAACCTTCACTTTCTTCTTCCTGAAGGTCAGTTGGGTGGGACTGAAAGTTTCAACCCTCCACTCAGAGGGTTAGCTCTGCTGTCTACCAGCCCTCACCCTTAGGTTACCTCAATAACATAACAAAAGATTCCTCAATTGCTCACTACACTTGGAAAATTCCAAAGGTTTTAGGAGCTTTGTGCCGGAAACAGGAT